CCCAGGCTCATATGATATGTTTCAGAATAAGAATGGCTCCCAGGCTCATATGATATGTTTGAGAAAAAGAATGGCTCCCAGGCTCATATGATATGTTTGAGAATAAGAACGGCTCCCAGGCTCATATGATATGTTTGAGAATAAGAATGGCTCCCAGGCTCATATGATATGTTTGAGAATAAGAATGGCTCCCAGGCTCATATGATATGTTTGAGAATAAGAACGGCTCCCAGGCTCATATGATATGTTTGAGAATAAGAATGGCTCCCAGGCTCATATGATATGTTTGAGAATTTGGTCCCCAGTTGTTGACATATTTGGAAAGGGTTAGGAGATGCAGCCCTGTTGGAAGAGTTGCCTGCCTTGGTCATGGTGTTTTGTCACAACAATCGAAAGTAACTAAGACACTGGTGTTAAGACTTTTCACCCCCTCTTTCACTGTGTTCCCTGAGCCCCAGATGCAGGAGCTGTGATGCAGATGTGTCTGTTAGAGCTGGGCTCAGCATGCAGTGCTGCTGTCTGCATTGTATCCAGTGGTGGATTTACAGCATTTGCTGTAAAGAGAGGGAGGGAGCCTCCTTTGATGAGGGGTGACAGCAACATGTATCTAGGAAAGGTGGCTTGGTGCACAGAGCATTCACGAGGCTGGATTTGATGGCTAATTCTGAAAGCAGCAGGTTTTATCTTTATCTTCACATTTAAAACACAACTGAGGGGAGAAAATGTTAACACACTTACATGGAGCTTCCTTTTCATCAAAATGTCAGAATATACTCAAACTGAATTCAGACATGAGAATTTTCATATTTTATGCACCAGAAAACTTCTGCATGAATATAACCTTGTCAGCACATGTGCCTGTATGTGTATCTATATATAGTTTATTAAGTGTTAATAATAGGCCGTTTCAGGTGATGGGATTTTGTATGGTTTTAATTTTCAAACAATTGCCTGTAGTCTGCAGTCAGTGTTTAGCGATTACTTTCTTGGGTAACATAAGGGATGTTTTCTACATTCTTAAAATATGCTGGTAAAGGAGAATGGGTTTTCCTTTTTAATTGTTTTAGAGACAGCAGTTACTTTGACTTTTAGCCTAATCCTTGCCATTTACTAGCTGAGACGTGCAGGTCTACAGATGAACAATTATAGATATGTTAAAGTTCAGTGACAGGGGCTGGAACCAGAAGGCCTCATTCCCTCCTGGAGCCTGTTTGCTGGTGCTCTGCCTCCAGTTAATGAATTACACTCTTGTATGCTTCAATGTCTTTATTTATAAACTAAAGTAACGGTGCTTCATGGAATTATAGGTGTGAAAGATCTGAGTGTGAGAGCTGACACTTTGAGATTGCTAGAGGAAAATATAAGTAAAGCACTTCCCGATATAGGCATGGCAAGGATTTTGTGAAAACATGTTACACAGTGACAATCCCAGCTCTAAAGGCTGATGAAACATAACATTTATAGGAAAAAGAACAAAACTAGAGATTGTGTTAAACAAAGTAAGACACTCAGACAATATTTCGTGTGTGTGTGTGTGTGTGTGTGTGTGTGTGTGTGTGTGTGTGTGTGTGTGTGTGTAGTAAAAGTAGAAAAGAAACCATGAGAGGAAAGGAAGAGATCTTAAGGAAGGGGACTTGGGGGGTAGAGGGTGGTGGACATGAGAGGAAAGGAAGAGATCTTAAGGAAGGGGACTTGGGGGGGTAGAGGGTGGTGGACATGAGAGGAAAGGAAGAGATCTTAAGGAAGGGGAACTGGGGGTAGAGGGTGGTGGACATGAGAGGAAAGGAAGAGATCTTAAGGAAGGGGACTTGGGGGTAGAGGGTGGTGGACATGAGAGGAAAGGAAGAGATCTTAAGGAAGGGGACTTGGGGGGGTAGAGGGTGGTGGACATGAGAGGAAAGGAAGAGATCTTAAGGAAGGGGACTTGGGGGGTAGAGGGTGGTGGACATGAGAGGAAAGGAAGAGATCTTAAGGAAGGGGACTTGGGGGGTAGAGGGTGGTGGACATGAGAGGAAAGGAACAGATCTTAAGGAAGGGGACTTGGGGGGGTAGAGGGTGGTGGACATGAGAGGAAAGGAAGAGATCTTAAGGAAGGGGACTTGGGGGGTAGAGGGTGGTGGACATGAGAGGAAAGGAAGAGATCTTAAGGAAGGGGACTTGGGGGGTAGAGGGTGGTGGACATGAGAGGAAAGGAAGAGATCTTAAGGAAGGGGACTTGGGGGGTAGAGGGTGGTGGACATGAGAGGAAAGGAAGAGATCTTAAGGAAGGGGACTTGGGGGGTAGAGGGTGGTGGACATGAGAGGAAAGGAAGAGATCTTAAGGAAGGGGACTTGGGGGTAGAGGGTGGTGGACATGAGAGGAAAGGAAGAGATCTTAAGGAAGGGGACTTGGGGGTAGAGGGTGGTGGACATGAGAGGAAAGGAAGAGATCTTAAGGAAGGGGACTTGGGGGTAGAGGGTGGTGGACTGTATGTAACATGAAAGGTAAAGCAGAGATCTAAATGGGAAAATAGGGTCCCAGCCATTAGAGAGGCAGGAAGAAGGAGACGAGATGAATGAGAATAAAACGCTGGCTATGGCCCAGTTGGTAGTGAGGAGGTAGAAGCAGAAGGATCACAATTTCAAGGTTATCCTTGACTGTATGGTGCATTTGAGGCCAGCCTGGGATACATGAGACTCTGCCTCAGAAAACAACAAGGCCAGTGAGATAGGTCAGCTGGTAAAGCATTTGCCTAATACCTAGGATCCACATGGTGAAAAAAGCATGATAACATATCTATGTATATGTATGCATATGAAAATGCTATAATGCTAACTTATAAAACTTATCTCAATGCCTGGCATGTAGCAGACAGATCATAAATATTAATTTTGTGTTCTCGTTCACAACCTGGTCATTTTGGGACTCAAGGTAATTGTGCATAACACAATGTTACAAAATGAAGAGTAAATATAATACAAACAAGATGTCGATGTTAAGTCTGACATTGCCTGTCCCAGACACTGCAGCCTGGTTATACTGGCTGCTCTGCGCTTCATATGTTACTGACCTGTCTAGACAGACCAGTGTGCTCTGCAGTATGGTTACCTAAGTAGGTTCTAAATGACTCTTTGGACTTACAGCTAACTCTTGTATCTATTTTAATGTATTTATGAACTAAAAATACAATAAGTATATGAATGGGGACATTTTAGGGATACGTATTAATGACTCCCAAAGAAAAGTCAACTTGGGCCTGGAGAGATAGCTCATTGGTTAAGAACACTAGCTGGTCTTACAGAGGTCCTGAATCAATTCCCAGCAACCACATGATGGCTCACAACCATTGAAAGGAGATCTGGTGCCCTCTTCTGGCTTGCAGGGATACATGCGGACAGAACACCATATGCACAATAAATAAAATCATTTTTAAAAATTGCTAATTTTTGGCCCTGAATCAAGGCCAGCAGTGTGCTGATGCTTTTGGTTTCACGCAGGTGCCTAAACCGATGTCTTTCTATGGTCTGTTGGCCATTTCAGAGATTTTAAAATGTTATGGTCAGTTCATTAGAAAAAAACATCTGGAAAAAAGAAAAGTCAATTTAATCAAGAATGTCAATTGGAATATTATAAAGTATGGCAAAATGTGGCAAAGATGATACTGAATGGCAAGACTGGGACTTAAGAACAGAATAAAACAAACAAAATTGACTCTCAGTTTTGGACTTTGTGCTCTGAAGTCTCCTTCTCATTTCTGGATCCTCATAACCTTTCTGGCTCCCAAGCCTAGGCAGAAAACCTGACAAGCTTCAGGTCTGGGGAGAGACTCTGCCTTAAAGGAATAAGGTATCCAATGCCCTCCTCTGGTCTCTGCAAGCACACACACATTAACATACAGACAAATGAGTAAAGAATAAGGATGCTCAGTACTTGCTCTGCCTGCCTTTCCATCCATATGCAAGTATTTTCAAATTGTTTGAGAGCCTTAGATGAAATCTTAGTATTAGATAAAAACCATATGAATACATAAGTATTCTGATGTGCAAGCATAGTTTATCGTGTCCACTTGTATTTGTATGCATCTTGGAGTCTTTGGAAGTGGCTTAATATGTAAAATGCCTGCCACATAAGCATGAGGGCCTGAGTTTGGATCCCCAACACTCAAGTCAAAATCCAGTTGTGGTAGCACACATCTGCAGTCCCAGTTCTGACAAGACAGAAACGTGCAGTCCATTGGTCAGCCAGCCTTGCTAAATAAAGACAAAATAAGAGACAAAGTAAACAAATGAAGAAAATGTGGTAGGTAGTATTGGAGAAAGACTACTGATAATGGGCATGCTTACTTGATCATGGTCTATGATCTTTTTAGTGAGTTGTTGGATTTAGTTCCATGCCTGTTGCTCTTCTCCATGTTTCTCTTTACTCTCTGTTTTCCTACTTCTGTACTGCCACCTGTCCACTTTAGCTGTGTATACAGATGAGAAAGAGAGACTTCACAGGGAACAGTTCCAAACCTGAAGTTTCTCCTGGTATGCCTTATCTGAGACTCACCAGCCTTTCTCCTGTCCTTACATTACCTTGAGGTAGTGAACCAGATGGGTCACAGACTCCAACCTAGTGTGCTGTGGAACCTGGTGCAGCCTGAGTACAATGGAAAGAGACAGCCAGAGTCTTGCAGTCTCTTACACACTTACCAAGGGTTATGGATTAAGTTCCATGGGCAGTTACAGTAGCTAGTGATTCTGATTTTTAAGAATCAGACACTGTAGTTATTAATATACCGCAAGACTAATTGATTGCTTTCTTTAAATAGAATCTAGATTTGTTCTATAAAAATTAATTTCTCATACAATGCTAGAAAGTACTTAAAACTTGCCACAGTTTAGGAACTCTAAGCAAAATTTATTCTTTTTCCTGATAATTTAATAGTTTTGCATATAAAGTGGTATGCAATAATCAAAAGAGAAGATAGAACCTGTCATGGTGTAGGCTCATGTCAAATGTTCACTTGATCTTACAGGACAGATTATTCGAGAGAAAAGAATTGTAGAAGCGGCAAACAGAAAAGAGCTAGACTATGAAGCAGGAGACATCCCAACAGAGTGGGAAGGTAAGTGTTCACCTCCAATAGGATGTTCTGAAAGGCAAAGCATTCAATGTTCTACAAAGTTAGAGTACTTCTCCATGGAAACACTTTTAAACTTTATTTCTGGAACATTGCATTTATTTGCAATTTTTAAAGGTAACAGAGTTTATGGGAGTGCATGTCTGGCACCAAGGGTTGTGGAGCTCCATCAGGACTGGGGTTGTGGTGAGGCATGCAGACCAAGCTCCTGCCGTGTGAGACTCAAGGAGTCTTCTCATGCCCATGCGCATGCACAGCCCCAGGCTAGAGTTCTTTTTCCAGCATTCACTAACTCTTGAACTTGGGAAAGTAACATATTTTGGGTCTTCATTTTCTCCTTTGTGTCTTATGGCGAATACGTACATGATGCTCTTTTGGAGTATTTATCTACCTCACAAGAACCCGGGTACCTGGTTTCCTCTTAAATGAAGGATGGATAATTGACGCTTACCTGAGAAGGACGTTGAAGTAGAAAGCTACACATAGTAGCTCGTGCCTATGATCTTAGCACTTAGGAGCTGAAGCAGGGAGATTGCCTAAACCTCAAGGCCAGCTTTGGCTACATAGTCAATTTTAGGTTAGTCTGGGCTGTAGTGTGAGACTCTGCCTCAAAAACATTTTTTTTTCATATAAAAGACCAGGTGGACCTGTTATGCCACATAAAAAGCTGAGTGCAGCTGCCTGTGCACCTGTAACTCCAGTGCTGTCTGGAGTGGAAACAGAGGATCACTGGGGTTTGCTGCCTGTTCAGTGAGAAACAGTCTGTTTCAAGGAAATGGAGCAGCTAGTAATAGAATACCCAGTGTCCTTATCTGACCTGTGTAAGTAAGGGCACATGTGCTGATATGTGTGTGTGTGTCTGTGTGTGTGTGTGAGAGAGATAGATAGAGAGAGAGAGAGAGAGAGAGAGAGAGAGAGAGAGAGAGAGAGAGAGAGCACGAGCACATGCATATGTGCACAGACGTGTACACACAAACACTAAAGCTTGACTAAAATACCCACATCTGTCTTCTGCATTGCTTAATACTTGCCAAGTGTTACCTGTGGTATGTATGCCCTTTCCCTATGTCATTATGATGTTTGATCATATCAGCAATCCTATAATTCAGATACTATATTTATTCATGTTTCATCTACAGAATATCTAAGCTCCAGTAAGTTTAGATCAATTGCTGGGATACACAGTTTTATCCAAACAGAACCCTTGATTCTTAGTGGTCATAACATGGTAGCTTCCATGTGGTAGCCACAAGTATTATGTCCCACTTATGGTAACGTATGCCTGTAAATACCATTGCAGTGATACCCATTTCTGCTCACTATTAGAACATTAGGACTATGAGAAAAGAGCTATGTGTGGCTAGAAAACTGAGCTTGTTTTCTTGTGAAATGCAGTCTCTGTTAGCAACTTCTAGAAGGAGCAATTGAGCTTTATTTTCCCAGATTGCCTACATTTGCAAATCTCAAGTAATGCTTGTGCCTTCTTATGAGCCCATTTTGTCATTTTCCCAATAATAGTATAGAATTAAAATGTTTATAGAAATAAATTAAGTTATAAATAAACAAATAGGTAATGGCTAATTTTTCAGCCTTTGAGACTTTCAGAGAATTGGAATGAAGTTTTAATGCTTTTTACGACTCTGTCCTGATCTAGTAATTCAGCATACTATCCCCATGGGACATATTCTTAAAAAATATAAATCAGCCAAATACTGAAACACAAGCACTTTTACAGTGGCACACATCAATTAAGTGTAAAGAATAAGTACTTTGTGCCATGAAAATATTAACAAATATATACAACACTATGTACAGGGAAGTGGGGGGTGGAGGCTAATGAAGTCATTGATACCAACACCAAACGAGCCTTTTCAATCCAGATGAATAAAAGTTGACGTTTTTAATCGTTAATATTAAAATACTGGTATCTACCAGTTGCCTGCTACCATCCAATAAGGATCAAATAAATAGTGTGGCTTTAATTCATTTATCTAGGAAGTTGTTGACTTCCTAGAGCATACATTCAGGAGTGGAAGAAAGACTAAACTAGATTAAGCACTAAACTACATAATATGCTAATGACCATAGAAAATGAAATAGGAAAGGGACAAATAGACGACTTTGAAAGCTTTTGCAATTTTAATTTGTGTTTAGAAAGACCTTGCTGGTTGATTTGTTTTTGGTTTTGCTTTGTTTTGCATAAATACTGAAGAAAGATCTGTCTCTGCCATAACGAGAGAGGGGCATTACTAAAGCAAGTACAAAGGCCCTGAGGCAAAGACCTGCTCCAGTGATTAAGGAATGCCTAGGAAGCCAGTTTGACTACAAGAGGGGCTAGAGAAAGCTATGGGAGATAAGTTTAGAGTGCTAAGAGAATTAGAAGAACTGAGGGCAATGGCACCCAAACGTGGAATCAGAATGTTTTCTTATATTAAGACAAAGAATAATTGTGACTTGGAGCAGATTAGCAGCAGGAATGGGAGGAAGCAGATACATTCTGGAACAATGTAAACGTAGAGCCAGTGGAATTGTTGACACATTCGACACAAAGAATGTGAGTTATGGTGCCAAGCCTTCTGGTCTCATTCTGAGAAAATGCAGTAGCTGATGGCTGTAACGGGAACAACAGATTAGGGGGGAGTGAAACCAGCTTTGGAAGTGGTAAATTTGAGGAGTCCGTTCAATATCCGATTAGAAATGGGGAAACTGAGTCAAGAATTCAGTGGAGCAGGGTGGTGGTGACATATACCTCTGATCCCAGCACTCAGGAGGCAAAGGTAGGCAGATCTCTGAGATCCTGGAAAACCAAGACTACACAGAGAAACCCTGTCTTGGAGGGTAAAAAAGAATTCAGTGGAAATAATGTCGATTGGAAATAAAAATATTAAGTTTCCAGCAAACAAATAGTGAGGTGAGATGAAATCACAAAGCCAGGGAGTGTAAACAGGAAGTACACAAAAGACTGGAGCCCGTGCCCTTCAGGGTTACAACAATGGAGACAAGAGGAGTGACAAGAAAATGAGAAAAATTAAAAAGTTCACATTCTGGAAGCCGGTCATCAGGAAGGAAAATGTGGTGTGCATTGTCACATGAACCCTGAAGATTAACCGTTTGCTTTACGATTAGACAGGTCAGTACTAATCTTGACAAAAGCAGTTCAGTAGACTTTGGGGTTATCTGTAAAGAAAGTTAAGCCACAAGACCATACCTTTAGAGAAAGGCAGGGTGTTGACTGTCCTGGAGATTGGGGAAATGCGAGGGTTTTTCAGTGCTTATGGTGAAGATCCAATCCCAAAGAAAGCTTATATCAGCTGAAAGCCCTTTAGAAGGGAAAGTACTCAAGCCTGGTCCATACAGGAAGAGCACAGAAATCCCTTCAGTAGGAATAGTGGAAAAGCTGGTGTGGGTAGATGAGACAGTGAGAACTTATGTCAACTCCTGGTTCCTCCTACTGAGTCAAGACTGCTTAGAATCTTCCCAAAGCTAACAGGGTTTAAACTTTCATCTGTCTTCTAAGTCTATGACATTTTGTTTCCCTGTTGTCAGGATTGAACCTCCGGTCTTGGACATGACAAGTTACAGCCCCAGCTCTTTCACATTACATTGTATTAGATTCTCTTTTATTAAACTGTATTATGTTGCATTTAACCTACCTCTTTAGTAACTCCACTAACACCTCCTTTTCCTTCAGGTGTGGGGTAGATGTTGACTCTATTTGGAACCTTTTCTGATCCCACTCTAAGCCAACCCATAGTCCCAGATTAGACACTTTTGTTTTCACTGACTTCTTTGCCCTCCTCTTACCACTTAACACACTGTAGTGAATTTCCTGTTTATTTTTGTCTCCTGCTCTTGAACTTGAAGATTGTTTAGTGTAGAGTCCCGACTTGCCCATCACTATATTACAGGACCTACCTCAAGACTTTACATATAGTAAGGTGGATTTTATGGTATTTTAAGTGGTACATCTCAGACATTATATACATTCAAGCTTCAACACTGTTCATCTCCAGAATGTTTTTCATCATTTCAAGCTGAAACTGTCACCCTTAAAAGTTTGACCACCATTCTACCATTTATTGTTACGAATTTGACTATTCTAGACATGTCATGTAAGTAGAATCAGATTGTAATTGTCCTTTTGCTCATGGCTATCTATGTCACAGCATGTATCAGAATTCCATTCCCTTCTCAGGGTGAATTGTAGACCCCATTGTACATAGTTACAGTTTATGCATTCATCTACAGGAGGACACTTGGCTTGGGTTGCTTCCATCCTTTGGTTATTGTGAAAGATAGTGCTATAAATATACATATATAAACATCTTTAGGTTTAAACCTAACTGTAAATAGTTAAAATGAATTTAAGTCTAAAAAGACCACATGAAAGGCAAAACTCATCAGAATGTTATAAAAGATAATTATATTGAACAATTTTTTTCTAATTGGCATTTAGAGAACATTCCACTAAGCATTTAAAAATTTATCTCCTCACCTTGCATCACAGGTTCTTTCTAAAAATGTAGCCAGTACTAGTTTTATGAAGCCAGGTTTATCCTGTTTATCAATCCTGACAGAAAGAATAGAGAGATAATATTATAGACCAGGATCCCACATCAACAGAGATACAGAAGTTAGTAACTCAGTGTCAGCAACCTAAACCTGCACTATATCAAAGGTGAGCCAGCTGTGCTGTGTATACCTGTAATCCCAGTATATAGTTAGTTTAGTCAGGAAGATGACATAATGAGAGCTGTTCCAAATAAAAATAAAAAGGGGACTGGGGAATATAGCTCCGTGGTAGGTCACTTGGTGGCATGTGCAAGACTCTTCATTTAATCCCCAAAATACCAGCCATCCCCAAGTATTAGATCATGATGACTATATGGAATTATTCCAGAATAATGGGTTGTTTTAACATTAGAAAGTCAAAGACTGGGAAGATGGCTCAGCAGGTAAGTGCTTGCTATGCAAGCATGAAGGTC